GGACGTCCTCTGTCTGTCCAACAGGATTTCCTCAGATAGTCGTACAGAGACATATACTCTGTACAACTAGCTGACCATGGTCTTTGGCGTTAGGTGTAAACTTCACGTCATCAAAGTTCCATACTAAAGTCATGTGATGACAAGTGATCTACCTTTCTCTCCTGAAGAAGACTGAGATGAGGTTGAAAGTTCTGAAAAAGCTAGTACCTGGATTTAAAATCAAGAATAAGCTTTCACAATCTTTTCTGAATACATTAAAATATTATAATGCCATCACAAATAAAAGTAGATAACACAGACGTTACTGTATGCTATAGGGATATTATCATAGAAATACAAGGACAGCCTTTTAATTAAGCTGATTCAGGTGTTTGAGCAATGCTATACTGAAAAGCGAGGGAGTGAACAGCTGGAGTTGCCTCTTTTGAGTAAAAGGAGCTATTACAGGAAACTGCTATTGCCAACTCTTCCTGCTGTTCCAAGTTGTGTTGGGGTCTTGTCCTCTGTGTCTGAAAGTAAACTGCTAACCAGAGACTGCTAGTAAAAACAAGCAGAAAACAAGCGGTCAACTGCAATAAAGAAAGGAGATGCTGAGCTGGACTGCTGTCTGGGTCAGAGCTACAGCGGCACAGCCCGCACACAAGCGCACAACAAATTTGAAATCTTTAGAAAAGTGAAGTTTGATTTCAGACCTAAATAGCTGTAATGCTTAGGTGTAGGAATACAGATGTTGTCAAAGAAAAATGCTGTCGAGGTAGAGCGGTGAAAAGGCTCTTAATATTACATAACCTTAACTGATATTGTTTTTTTTCAGGCTAAAATAGGTTTTTTCGCAGCCTCCATCCACCCCACTCTGTTTCTCCAAAGTGGGGGATACTGACTGCTGTCTATTGTAGTTAATGGTTATAATGGTTATGATCTCATAACTATGAGAATTGTCATAACACATTATGCATTCTAAACATTGCCGCAGAAAGGAAAAGGTCTGAATGTTGAGCTCACCTTCTCGTAATACTCCACATTCTTCTCAGATGTAGATATGAAGGCTGATCTGAGGTCGGTTCTCATGCTGTTCTGCCAGCGCGACCAGTCTACCTTCAAGGCGTTGTTGGCCAGCTCCACCCGGTCTGCCAGACCGTCCACCTCGTCCTGCAACTGCCCGTCAAACACACAAACCAATGAGTTTACAATTACAGAGAACAAAACATCACAGTCCGACAAATACATCCGTTTAGTGAAACAAATAGATTGTGTTATCAGTTTACCAGTATACACAGCTGATTTTGGAAAGACAGTTACTGTTTGCAAGTCATGTCCAAGGGGAACTACACCGATTTCACACATCAAAGTATATTATAAAGTCTTTAGTATCTCCACAGAGAGATGTGAAGTCTGATAAATTGCTTCAAGTGATGTCACTTGAGTCAGCATTGGTGATTGGTTGGGGCTGAGGACTACACATTTGAAAATAAATCAAAATACGTATGTGAAGATTCCAATCGGTTAGGGTTAGGGTTAAACTTAATTTAATTTAAACAGCAAATAGGCGCTCGATTTAATAATTTTAAATAATTAGAAAATACAAGAGAAAATATTCTGTAGATTTTTTGCTGAGAAATAGAATATTTCAAGCCCCACCCCTTGTAGCTCTATCCTGAAGGGCCCCTACCCAGTAGAGTGCACTCCAAAGCTAAATGCAGGGCCAACTAGGGGGATTATGATTAGTCCTACATGTACATGCATTGTACATTTATTTTTGCAATCCTGCTCACCATTTTTAAAATGATCGGTTTCAGTTAGTGTGGTCCTCCTCTATCCTGAAGTTTACCAGAGTAAAGTAGCTGTAGCCGAATAACAGGAGGAAGTTACAAATAAGTGCACATTATGTTTTATTGCAGATTGTCATGGTTCATTAGTTAGAAGCCTCTAAACCATTAGAGCTATGTTATATAACCATTAGAGGATTACTGCAGACACTGAACACACCCACTGCATCAGGCAGCATCTAATGAGTTAGTTTCACAATAAAGCACAGTTATCTACAACACCTACTGTTATGTGTCTTTCAGCATAAAAAAAATATTAGTAAATTGAGCCTGTGACAATGCGGAGAGCCTAAAGCACACATGATGCTAGCGCTCCTCACGGTGCAGATAATCAGATGTTATCATGCAGCTGGATTTACTGAGCCTGAGCAGGGATTAGCTGTCTGACATTTAGACTGACAATGGCATTTACTCAAGTTCCATAAACAAAGAACACTTAACATGGGCTTACGCACACACAACACACACACAACACACACAACAACACACACACAACACCACACAACACCACTGGGGACTCTCAGTGGCCAGAGTGTTACTGCAGTGATATCGGATCCAGACACCTTGTCAAGCCCTGTGGCTGGAATAGCATCTAGCATCTGTGTTGTGTGTGTGTGTGTTTGTGTGTGTGTGTGTGTGTGTGTGTGTGTGTGTGTGTAAGCCCATGTTAAAGTGTTCTTATACGTAACTTTGTATAAAAAATGTATCCATGTGCATTAAAATAAATGAAATCGTATGCAGAACCACACACAGTTATTAACACAATTGTATGTATATTTTTTATTTTAGTTAAGCACATATCAATTATTCTTTCAGTTGTTTTTAGTTTAGTTAACTATAATAACCTTCAGCATGATGTAGAAGTCACACTGGAAGTAATGAAAAAATCCACCTTTATCTTGTTTAATGTTTTAAGGATAATGAATAGCTTTGGTTCCTCAGCTGTGTGCTGTAAATGGATCAACGCTGCCCCCTCCTGCTGAGCTGTGGCATAAGAATCAGTCTGACTCTGGGAAGGTCCACTCAGAAAAAGCTACAATGTTAATGAGAGATTCTCATGATATGGGTTGGTCAGTACAAGTTCTAAATTTCAGCTCTCACCTCCAAATACTGGAGACTGTTCTTCTTCTGTCCGCGATGTCCCAGAATCTGATAGCTAACAGGAAACTGACAGCAGTGGTAGTTATCACATTACTGGAATCACAACGAAAGAACGTCACGCTTTTGTGTTGTGACAGTCAGTCATGGATTGACGCACAGGCTAATCACGATTTCATTTTGGTTTCAGTTGTGTCGCTGTGGTCTGACAGGCAGACAGTGCTCCTCATGCTCAGGCTGTCTTTTGGTAAATGGTTAAATGGATCCTTGATGTTATGCGTCCTTTCTAGTCT